TCTGAAGAACAGTTGTGCCCCTTACTTTCTTCCACAAACAGGTTTCTCTCTTTTCACTTACCAAATTCTTTCCATGACTTAAGATCAGCTACAGGGTTATATTACCTAAGAGGAAATTCCTAACCCTAATGTCTATTTGCTCTTTCCATACCACCAGCCCCACATCTTCCACTCATTTCTCCAACAATACTTCTTCGCTAGAATGCTTGACTTCGGTTCCTAGCCCATTAGATTTTCTGGGAAATGTTACTACTCCAACATTTAAGTTTTATGAACAACCTACACATAAAAGTCAGTCTAAATACCATTCCAAAACAGGACAGACTCCCTAGAAGAGGTGGCAGGTTACATACAATACGAAGAACTGTTTCTAACTAAGTTAACACAATAAAATAGCTCTAATCACAGTAACACACAGGGAAACCATGGCCCTTTCCTCGCCTGCACAGCTCTGAAGCACTGTTCTTTACAAAGCTACAAAGGTTGTAATAATAATCTCAGAGACATGGCCCCATTACACATATCATTTCATGGGTCAGAACCACAGTCGTTACTCTACAGAAGAATAAGGAAATGATGTTGTACATGGTACTTCCCTTTTATTCCTTTTAAATCTAAGAGTTTTCCTACTTTGCAGCTATTTGCTTTGATGACCTAACTTTCACTTTTCAATATGAAGCGTATGCGTCTCTCTCTCTCTTTCTCTCTCTCTCTCTCACACACACACACAACTGAATGCTTGTACCCTTGTGCATATTTAATAACAATACTTTGGAATCAAGGCGCACATTCCTGATTGCCTACTAAATCCCTCTACCACAGCATTACAAACAGCACTGAGATTTTAACAGTTGGTAAATACTCTAACAGACACATTAAAGCTAGCAGAAAAATATTTTGTAGTAATCTCTGTTTAAGTTACCACTGAACAGTGAGAGTAGCAGAAGGCAGGGAAGTGTGCATACTCCTGAGAGACAAGCAACATCTATAATGAAGAACAGTGAGCCATCTCAAGGGCTCTGAATGGTGGCACCATGCCAGGATGGCCACTTAGCCATCTGGTGGCCATAGGGGTGGGTGGGACAGTATATAATCTCAGTGAGAAAGCCTTGCCGTTCAGCAAGAAATGCCAGATCCATCCCTACCTATAAGAACTTCACTGACGTTGGCATATCTGAACCCTACAGGTAGGGACATTACCATTCATGGCACGGATCTCAAGGAGGGTGGTGCACCCACGAAGTGCTAAGTCTGGGCTTAGCAGACAGAGTGTCAGTTTCCAGCTCCTGTTTTTCCCTGTGCTGTCTGCTATCAGTTGTGTGGTATCTTTTAGCTTGGATGGCCATGATCAAGAGGCCTCAGGTACAAGTGCTTAAGAATCATCCCACGCCACATTTTAAATGCATGAGAAAACTCAGCTAGATCAGTGACTGGAAAGGCCACAGCAAAGGCAGAGGGAGTGCACGCCCTGTGCTTCCTGGATGAGCGGCACTGTGCAGGAGGCGGCACGCAGAGCCGGGGACACAGTGGCTCCCACAGCTCGCTTTGTCACGTACACGTGACCAAGAAGCACACGGATTCCATGACACGCCACTGTGGAGCTGCTACTATTTTCTCTCACTTGTCAAACAGTGGACCAGGTGCTCAATGAGGACAGATGGACAGGATCATATCTGCGCTTCTGATCTCTCTCAGGTCAGGAAAGCAGTTTCGCTGAAGTTACTGGCTCATGTTACAAATTCTAACGATGTACTTTTTCTTTCCCTGTGTTAGATTTTCATAAGTGACTTTATTCTACAAATGCTGTTATTCCTTCATTATAAACTTCGAATTTTATAAAAGTGTATATGCAACTCTTCAAAAAACAATTTTTTCTTTCTCATAAATTACATGGAGTACTGATGAAATACTAATTTGACCACAAACTGTCTTATAATTATATACAAATTAACTTTTTAATAAATATCTATTGGTGCTTTAGAAAATAATTTTAAAAATCCTCTATGTGAAAAAAAAACTTAATTCCAGGTAAACCAAATACTAAATGTAAAAATAAATTATAGAAAAAATAAAATTAATTTGAATGTTCATCTAAGTTGTAGAGAACAAAAGGCATATATATATGTATATATATATGTATACACGTACACACACATATATATATGTTATGAAAGGAATAAGCTAATAAATTTTGTTAGGAAAAAAGCCTTTTGTGTTAAACTAAAGCAGAATTGAAATAAATTATAATTCAAATTAAAATTAATTACTGATACTTACTTGTGGGAAAAAAACACTCAAGACTGGACGCTTAAGTACAGATGTAGTCAGAGTTTCAATGCAGGTGGTGGGTCATCTATTGGCATAATATTTTTGTGAAGGGGTTCTGACAAATATTTTGAGCTTTTTAAATATTCAGGTTAATGTAAGAACTATGGCCTTTAAATTGATTTCTAACATTGGGCTTTAAATGCAGTAGTACCTAGATTCCACATGTTCCTTGGTCCTCTGACCTTATCTAACGCCCCTGTTGTCAAGGCACTAGAAGATGGCAGAAGTAGAGCACTGGGCCTGAAAAACTGTGGGAAGGGTCAGGCAAGAGATAAGCAGGCCGGGGTGAGCATCTGATATGACAAGTTCTTCAGCTGATGGCCCACCAAGTGGCCCAGGGCATTTTTCACAGTTTTTACTTCCAAAGACTCTGTGGTCTTATCTGACAACAAGTTCCCATCTTAATATTTTCCTACTGCTATCTCCTGGGGTTTCACTACCTAATACTGACAAATTCAAGGCCTGGTTTCCCATGCCTAACTTAAAATAAATATGTATTAATATTTTATTCTGCATGTATGGGTGCTTTGCCTACATATCTGTCTATTACCACATGTATGTCTGTTGCCCATGCAACTGGAGCTACAGACTGTTGTGCCTGCCATGTGGATGCTGGGAACTAAGCGTAGGTCCTCTGGAAAAGCAGCCAGTGATCTTTTAACCAATGAGCCAACTCTCTAGTTCTATCCCTAGCTTGTCAACCTTTGGACAGATTGTTCCCTCAAGCACAGAATAGTACTAAAAGCATCTATTAGGAATGAAGGATGAGCCAAGGATTTATGTGTCATTTCTCTACCAAATAGTTTTATTATTTCCACTTTACAGATATTTATAGTAATTACAGGTTGGTCTAGCCAGGTCAGAGACATCTGTGTCATCACTATCCAACTATATCACTTCAGATTCTTACCTTGTCAAAGAGCAACAACAAAATACTTCCCAGTCAGGGAGCTAACTTTGTTATGGTGTCAGAGACTAAAGCAATAAGTGTGGCCTCTTCCACTTTGAATTTACTGTCTGTCTCATCCCCTATGCCTGGACTGCCACAGTGTAATAGTTAAATTTTAACAATTCACACACCTCAGTCTCGCTGCCATCTTCCTCTGGTCCTCATCTAACATCTCCAAGTACACATGACCTTTTGTTCCTCTAAATTCCTACAATTATGCTGACTCAAATATCCACTTTGCTCACAAGTCATCTATTTCATACAGGTTTGCTTACCATGTACTGGGTGCTAGGGTGTGATGAGTGCTCAGGGGCAGGGGTGGACATGATATATGACCACTCCCTCTGTACAGCTGTAGGTGACACCATGCTAGGGTGCGCAGCATAGCCCAGCATGATCACTTCCCTTTTTGAGTTACTTATGGGAAGAAACATGATACAGAGCTTACGTCACTTGGCTGTCTGTCCCTTTAGGTATCTGGAATATTTCCTGCCACAATGGTAGGGACTTAGAAGGACTAAGCTGGTGACCAAATGGTGCAAGCAGTGGTATCTCTCTGCTGTTTCATAAGGTCGCAGGTTGAGCTGTGTCTCCTACCCCTATGCTCTTCCCAGGGCTCCCAATACTGTTCTAAGTTTTTCTTTACTGCAGCTACACTCGGAGCCAAGCGCAGGCGAGGAGACTGAAGGGTGGGGTGACACTGGGCTGAGTGCTACACCAGCTCTTAGCAGACTGAAGGAGAAAGCAAAGGCGAAAAGTACAACGGATCCCATCTCCTGTAGTATGCGACCTGGGTAACTCACTGAACAGCTCAGTCCTTCAAGGAGTGCCAAGGAGTTTCACAGTACTGAAAATGTTCTTTAATCCAGTCTCTACAAGATTTCTGAGTATATTTGATGCTATTTGGCACATGGTGGAGATATTTAATTTATATTATAATTTCATCATTAAATACAGCTGTTACAAGTTTGTATAATGTACAACCAAAACATTCTGCACTACTGACATTCTATTATGCATCTCATCTTGCATTTGTATATATTAGAGAAATAGAAATTTTGCTCGTTTATATATTTGATGATTTCAGACAAAGAAGTATTCAATACAGAGTTTACATAAAGCTTTAAAGGCCCTTGCGAACAGTCTCACTATGACTAACACAAGGTTATCAACGTTTCAGTCTTGTGACACCCACTTGAAAGACATCATGCTTATGAATTTGACAACACACTCTCACCATATACCCTCTTCCCCGTATGGTAAGAACAACTTAATCTTATACTCACAGGAACCCAGCTACATGAAAGAAAAGTATTTTTGTAATTGCAATAGGTAACTTCAGTTAAGAATTAATGTAGAAAATATTTATTACTTTAAAAGATGGCAAAGTATCTTGCACATGGTGCTACAACCTACAGCTGATCACTTGAGAGGAGAACACAGGAGCAGTGGGAGGCAGAGGTACTCTTGGCTATACAGCAATGCCTTGTCTAAAACAAATAAACAAGCCAAAAGAGGGTTCTTATTCAAAACGAAAATCAATGAAAGTTTCATGAGCTGTTGTTTATGACTCTAATACTGGTGAAATCAGCACATGTAGCTTGTCCAAAACTGTGAATGGGTCAAGCCATATTCACGTACTTGTAAACAATGTTACAAATACAACTCAAAAGTCGGGATTAGACCAAAGGGCAATACGTTACCAGTGCTATAAAGTCCTCACCTATTAATATCCTGCTCTTCGGAACGCCGTTTCTTACTTCATCGTCAATCAATCCAGTGAGCACTTGACACATTCTATCAATTGAGTCAAGGTGTTCTGGGCAGTCTTTAGATATTTTAAATCTGTCAAACCACACATTGGAGAATTCTCCCTTCATAGGAGTATATGGCCTGTTTAAAACAAAGAAAACAACAACAAAAGAGTGATATTAAAACAGTTGCCTTAATTTCTAAAAAGTTAGTTTACTATTTATTTTGCTGATTTTTATACTAAAGAATTTGTATAGAAAAAGCCACATACATACTACATTAGCTTTCTTATATTTGTTCCATTAACTTTTCCCAGAGGTGGTTTGCCATCTTAACTGTCTAATGGTTATATTTATTTACTGGGGGAGGTGTGCCATGGGCTATGAGTATGTCAGGGCACAGTTTGCAGGTGTCCGTTCTCTCCTTCCACCATGAAGATTCCAGGCATGAAACATGTGTCTTCAGTCAAGGTGACAAGTGCCCTTACCCTCTGTGCCATCTCACAAGCCGGTAACTACTTTTTTTTTTAGGAAGTAGGGCAATTATGCTGCTATGAATCTTAGCCCATTCATGGACACTAATGCTTCGCAATGAATTTCCAGTTCTACACACATACCTGTGTACATTCCAAATATTTGTAAACCAATTACAATGTGGTTAAAGGTTTCAGGTCTAAGTTCTTTGTTAGCAGAGGCTAAAAAGGGGAGTGAGTGGGTGAAATGAAGACAATTTGGGAGAGATGTTTTGTGGAAATTACAAAAAGGTGCAGGGGGGCATTTCTGCTAAAGCATTGAGAAGGAAGGCCTGAACGAGATTAGGGACAGGGAGTTTGACAAGAGGCACTGCCCACTGCTTGACAAACTCTCATTTTCTTACTTACCAGATGCATGGTTTGCTTTATATGCAAAATTGCCACAAATGAGCTAGCCAGCAACAAAAGACCCACCATGATTGAAAGGCATCTCAACCAATCACAGAGACTCTCAAATTGATTGCTGGATCTCATGCTTACTTCCTCTACTTTCATCAGACTCAGCTGCACTCTCACGTTCCAAGCCACATATGTAAAAGCAGGAGAGACGCAACTTAGAAAGTAACAGGTGGGAACAGAGAGACACCAGCCAGACCTGACCCACTTCTAGCTCTTCTCTGAAAACACAAGGGAAAGCGCAGCATGCCCAACGGCCTCCCCAGTTTCTGCAAGGCACCAACCAGTGCTGAGGAACAGGCACAAGCCACCACTCCTTCCTGCTGATGACACCACAGCAAACAAAGGGACATTCAATCTGGAAGCCTGGCTATATTTAAAACTTTTTCTGGAAAAGCTGGAAGAAGCCTAGAAGCAAGGAAGGTGCCCTGACTTGAATGTAACAGAAGCACCTTGCAGCTACCTTCTGCTTGTTGACAGAATCATGCAATGAATGCTGTTTTGGAATGAGGCTACAACTGTTCTAAGGCAGGTGATGGGAATTTCTGCAGTGCACAAACACCGAAATTTCCCTGCCTTGTATATGTATAAAAATGTTAACAATACAGTGATGGGTTACTGTATGTTACTAACTAAATACATACATATTAGCTCAGTTCTATATATACTACTTTGGTTTCTGAGGTAATAAATCTGACTTAATTTTTGCTCATCTCTTCACCCTTCCCCTTACAAGGCTCTTTCTCAACATATACTGAAACATAACCTTTCAGTATTGTTTTTTTCTTTCAAAGCTGGATAATGCATTCTGCTTCTCATGCATCCACACCCTTCTCCACATCACCTCACAGAAGTCCATCGAAATAGGGCTCACCTACATGCCTCTCCATTAGTGAATGCTATCCATTCACAGTTCCATCCTAGTTACTGGACATATTGGCCCCTCTCCCATTTTCCTGCCACCCTACTAGCCCTCTTCCCTATGAATCAAATAATATCAATAAATACTTTATGCTCAGAGATGAAGCTATTTGACAGCTGATTCACCTACTTCCCCCAGGGATCACTTACTTGGTACCTAGATGCTAGCCCTGCGGACAGGGTGACATTAAACGTGTGTATTTAATATAGAGGTACTTTTTAGGTAGTAGGACTAATATTCCTATGCAAAAGAGACCAAGAATCACATTGCTGCACCAGAAGGTGCAGTTTTTTACCTTAATACCTGTTTCAAAGTTGCCTCAATAAAGGTGGTAAAAATACACCATTCTACTATTGGTTCTAGTGGAGGTACCAGGTAAGAACACATTCTCACTCGAGGGTATCGACTGTAGTATAAAATCAACTTCATTGGTTTAACATAGAAAGCTGTGCTCAGTTTGAACCTAGAAGGTCAAATGCTTTGACACGGGAACCAGCATCTCAAGATCTCCTGGGGCATTCCCTTCCCTAAGAAGACAACCTCTGAAACCCTTTTAGACAATTTAGGGTGTTCCCATCAGTACTGATTAATCTGTCTATTCTAAACCATCACATCAGTGGAAGCAGCGATTGATAGCTATTTTTTTTTCTAGCAGGGTTGAAGTTTTTCTCATTAATTCAGAAGAGCACTTGGATATTATTGGCAAAGACTTGCCTTCTGTTTTCAAGTGTGTTTTTCCCTAAATGTATTTTGCATATTCATATGTATTTAAAGTATCCTTTATTACTTTATAATTCAAGCAGGATATGATTATATCGTTATAAAGTGTTCTTTTTAATCAGATAAAAGAATTCACAATGAAAGCATCTGAAATATCTTCATTGAAAAGTTTACATTCTGGCTTTCCATTAAATTCTTTTTCTGAGTACACTGGTTCTTATATAGAGAAAGACTTATCCAACATAATATCTCAGTGGTCTTCTGTGACTTGTGTTTCCATTTTCACTTTTCAATGCTTAAATTGGGGAAAATTTTTTCATATGTGGTTTGACTCAAGCACAAATTCATTTTATCTAATATGGACAGGTAAATGTGTAGAGAGGGAAGGAAGGAGGGAAGGGAAAGACGAAAGGAAGGAGGCACCATTCTTAGACACGAGAACCTTCCCTACTAAGGCACACTCCATATACAGTGACCACATTTCTTGTTTAGTCTGCTAGAAAAATACTGATTTGTATTATGCTTGAGAATATCAAGAAAACCATCGCTCAAATAACTTTCAGCATTCTGTGTCTTCGTAAGGACAGGCTCCCCCATTGATTTATGCACTTATCAGTGGGTGTTTCCTGCCCTCCTCTGACCAGCATCACACTGGAGGTCATTCTCACTCCGCAAAGCCTCACTGTTGTTTATTTAGTCAAGAAGTCACTCGAAACATTTAGAAGTTTGAAACACTCTTAAAAAATTCTCTTTAAAAGTCAGTCAGGATTTTTTAGTTAATATGTATTATTATCTGAGGTTGATGTTTAGAGAGAAAATCTTGGGAGGACGGCAGACTTCTGTACAGGGAGCCCTCCCACCGTGGATGAGGCTTCTCTCCCACTGCTCTCTACCCTCAGGTGCAGTGGGAAAGACGAAGTCCACAGTGGCTCAACTCAGTTCTTTCGCCCCGCTAAGCCTTCTGACCCCAGGGGATGCTTGACTCAAGGGAGACAGCTCAGGCGCAAGGAGAAGGCAAACAGCATCCTCCCAGAGGTCTTCTCGAGGTTAACTCTCAACTGCAAAAGAAGGCAGGTGCTCTGCTCTCCATGGTCATCACATACCGTCAAGTCCCAAGTTCAGGCTGCACGGAGACCACAGTGAAGCCTAGCTCTGGAATGGACACACAACCCTCACTCTGGAGGTCCAATAAGACTGTCAACCTCTGCAGTTCCTTCGACTTCCCGCTCCATTTTCCTCTTCTGGTTCTCTAACTGTTTATTTGTCTGTCTAAGCACTTAAAGAAGGATGATATCATAGGCTAAAATGTGAATCATTCTGGGAACTTGGCCATTAATGGGAAAAAAATCATACTCTCTTAACTCTTTTTCCCTTTGACAATGCCTTAATTAATCTAGATAGATGCTCCACCGACCTACAGCCCAAAGTAAATCCCAATGTATTCATCTGGAGGTTTTCAGTCTCACATTTCTTTAAGAAAAAAAAAATTAAATTTTTTTGTTCAAAAAGAATCATTAAGATACTTTAATGGGATAAAAGAGTCTTTAGAACTTTTTTTTTGCTAAGCAAACAATCAAGAGTACATAAATCTCCAAAGATGTTAAAATAACCTTTAAATAAAGCATAAAAGATTGTTTTTTAAACAGCTAAAAGGCCTGGCACATGTGTTATATTCATTCACTTTCTTCCTCAAATAAATCACTTTATTAGCTGGTATAAAACAGCTCAGACATTACTACAATAAACAAATATGTTGAGCAAAGAACATCTGTGTGGCTCCTAAATCAATCAATCAATCAATCAATCAATCAATCAATCAATCAATCCATTACACACTGGTAAAGTATTAGCCTAGGATAAATGTCCAAAGGTGTTTTTGTTTGGTTAGTTTGCTTTTGTTTTTTGTTTTCTTTTTACAAAAAAGGCATTCAGCTGAATACCCAGTTTTGTTTTGATCTGTGTTCCCCTAAAATTATAAAAACCAAAAGATTATTTGAAGCCTTTAAGATAGCAATCTGGCTCTAGTCTCTCTTGGTCCTGGTTTCAGAATTTTCCCAGCATGCTGTAGGGTAGAATCATACTGGACCAGCTCATTAGTGACTCTGGAGCATTTCATCTGATCTCCCTCTTCCTGCTGTGCTCTCCCACCATTCTATGTGCTGAAATCCCGCTGATTATTTAGGTGTCAACTGAAATGTCATCTTCTCAAGGGGACCCCTTTGACTACTCAGTGTTGCTTTTATTCTGCAACAGACTCCATCTCATTTCTTTAACGGTCTTCATAGCTTAGATTTCATCTTTATTTGAAATTGTAATTGCTTGCTTTATATTCAGCCTGCACATGAGCAACTGACCTCTGGCCTCCACGTGTACTTGCATACAGACACATGTGCATATCCCTTATATGTGTGTATTCCCCACGTGAACACGTAAAAATACAAGTGAATAAAATAAGTATCTAAACTGACTTGACAGTACACATTTTCTGAAAGTACTGAGCGCCCATTTTAAGTGGGAAAATGTGTAATCAGCATATAGAGGCACAAACAAGCCTGATGAGTTTTAGAATTTTTCAAATCACCAAGAGAATTTATATCATAAAAATTATAAATGGTCTATAAAACATTGTTATTTTTAATGGTAATTCTGTTATTAAATCCAAACTAAGAAAACCTGTGGTTGTAAACACAGTTAAAATATGCCACAAAAAAATATTTATTGGGTACTTCCAATTAAAGAGACCAAATTAACATAATGAAAAAGTACTATTCTGTTTTTCCATTTTAATTAACACAGCAAATTATTGTTGAGTTCTATTTAATATACTCCTGCTTGGACAATTTATAGTACAGGAGAAGGAGCAGTTACAAACAAAAGGGTAATTCACAAATTAGTGAAAATACAATGCAGTGCCATTATGGACTGCCCTGAACAAGCATAGTACACCACTGTCCCCTCCGAGTTTTGTGGTGCTTATGACTATGAAAAACAAAACTCTAATCTTGCTTGAAGGCGTTCTCAACATACTGTAGATGAAAGCCATGAGAATCATAAAAGAGAAGGAAAAAGGGCACCTATGAAATTTGAAGTTCTAAAATTCAGTTATTGCACTAAATATTTACTCTAAGATGGGGAAAGGTCTATGATTTATATTGAACCTTACCATAATCAGGGGGAAAAAAGACATAAAATTAAATTGAAACATTAAAAAGTTTAAATAGTGCAAAAAATGAGAAAGATAGAACATAGAAGAAAAAACAGACTTACATTCAAAACTATAAATCGAATGTTACATTAAATGTAAATGGCTAAACAAATCATTTAAAAGACAGAAACTGTCAGATGAGTTAAAGACATAAACAGAGGCGAACACATGTTGTCCACTGTAACAAACACACTTTACATACAATTGATAGATAGGCTGAAGATGAAAAGGCTGGAGGCCTGCTATGGAACAATAGTCAAAGTAACACAAAGTGATAAAAATTTGTAAAATAAGTATAAGAAAGCTGCTGTGCAGTGCATTAATTATAGAAACCACACATCTGGGTGTTATCAGAATTTAAGAGTGATCATTTTGTAAGAAAAGGGTAGTTATTAAAGGGCTTCCCTCATGACTCCTAGATCCACTTAAAAATAATTATCAAGCATATATAAATACTAACTGCCACCCTGGACTATGCCGGTATTTTTTAAAAGCTATATATGAAACTACACATGAAGAGTCAGCATAATAGAAGTTATATAAAACCGTAAAACCCCACTGAGAAGCCAAAGACTGGGATTGTATAGGATATTTTATCTGCTAGCAATGAAATAAAATTAGAAATCAGCATCTGTAAGACAACGCAACAGCCCTCAATGCATGAAAATTACTAACAGAGTTCTAGATAGGTTTAGAAGGTCCAGTACATTTTTTTTTTCCAATTAGAAAAGTAAAATACACAAGCCCTTTCCACACTCTGATTGACATTTGCTGAGAGGCTAAAGCCTACTCTCTTTCCTTACATCCTGGTTGGCTTCAGTGTCACAGTGCAGAGACTACAGAAGAGCCCCAGCTAATCTCCAGCATCAACTGCCAGCTACATGAGTAAGCCTTTAGATGAGGGATCCAGTCCCCAGCAGACAAATCAGGAGCCACACCCAACCTTCAAGCTTTCCAAAGAGAAGCCCCAAAAACAACAGAATGGAGCTGAGTCACCACTATTGTGCCCTTTCTGAATTCCTAACTCACAAAATTTGTGACCATAATAGAAGTGTTGCTTGGGGGTGATTTGTTACATAAGAATTATACATGGAACATGAAAGTGATAGAAAATCTTCCAACATAAATAAAACAGAAAAAAAAAGCATGGTGAGATTTGGCTAGAGTAGTGATAAAAATTATTGCTCTGATATAAATAGTAGGGAAAAAAGAAAATGGGCAGATATAAATGAAACAGAAAATCCAAAGTAAGAGAAAATGGTACTGGATGCTGTGGAGAAGACCTGTAATCCCAGCACTCATGAGAGAGAGAAAGGAAGAACGACTGTGAGTTCTAAGGCAAACAATAAATAGTAATAAGTTAATAATAATAATATAAAATATTATCAGTCGAAATAAAATACATGAACAGAAATTTAAACTTTAAAAATAAGTATCATGAAATCAGAGACAAATTGCACCAGAGACACAAATCACTGACATTGATTTGAAAATACATTGAAAGTCTGACAACCTGGATTCGACAAAAGAAAAACGCATTGCCACAACTCACACAGGAGAACTTCTGATCCACGTCAGTTCTCCAAGTGCTCTCAAACATCCAAAGAAAATGTAAAAACTATTAAATTCTTAGAATCATGGCTCTAAAGTCTTTCTTCCTTTTTTCTTTCTTTTTTTTTTTTTTTTGTTTTGTTTTTCAAGACAGGGTTTCTCTGTGTAGGGTTGGCTGTCCAGGCTTGCCTCAAACTCACAGAGATCCACCTGCCTCTGCCTCTGCCTCTGCCGAGATTACAGGCATGAGCCACCACACCTGGCTGTCTTTCTTATCATTTAATCACATACATTTACAATTGGCATAAAACTCAAATTTTCCAGTTTCCACAGAAATGTTAGCATTCCCTTCCAACTTCACCTAACCTAGAAACCAATTATGAACAACAAGCTCTTCTGAGACTTCACTTTACAGCTCACACAGGTGTCTGTGTGTGCTACCAAACCCCTAAGCTTGGTTATATTAAAATAATAACCATTTTGTATCCTCTACTTGCACTGTCATTTTTGTTCTGGACCTGTCTACATTCTATCAACTAGTGAAATAAGTTCTTATTGGTGAATATAAGAAGTGTCTTGAAATCCTGGTTCATTTTCTTGTTAATACAAGGTTGACAGAAAGATGAAAGTCAAGAGCACATCATGAGATATCAGGTTTGGTCGCATGACACAAGACAATAATTGTTTATGCAAAAAAAAAAAGTTTGAAAAAAGATTATGTGGATGCTTATTTAATATTCATAGAAAGCAGTGACCTCAAAACTGTTTCACTCCCATCATTATGAATTGAATTAAATGCAGCTATACGTTTCCACTCTGCATATTAAGTAAGCCGTTCCTCATCTCTACCCTAGTTTACTGATTCAAAGAAGCTAACAGTATTTAAAATCGTTTAAAATTCAGAAAATATGATAAAACTTTTCCAGGGATTATGAACCTGGGTTTAACTAAATTATAAGAAAGATTATCTTGGCACAGGGCATACGTTTGCTTTTGGGGTGTGTGAGGTGGAGAGAGGGCATCTGAAGGATGAGACCCGCACAGGCTTACAGAATGCCAGAGTGTGAGCTGGAGCGTGGCCAGTCAGAGCAGCAGATCACAGGGCTTGCCTGGGAAAGCTTGGTGAACAAGCAAATTTCAAAGTAAAGCATGCCTTTTTACAGGTGGGAGTTGAAGTCCCTAATTTAAAATATCTTAAATAGAGTTAAAGTTAAAAAACATCTCGCTGGCACATACATCCATTTTATGCCATGGAGTTACACTTCGAGGTGAAATTAAGCGTTGCATACCTGGAGGGAGCCGTTGGATAAATAATCTTTATGTGCTGGAATGTTAAGTCTTGGTTTAGCACCTGCTTGATCCACTGTCTCATCCCTTGGCCAGAATGACCTGACAAAGTACAAAACCCACAGTCAGATGGATAAACACCTTCACAATACAGTGCATTTGAAAGTAGTCTGTACCTCTCAGGTCACTTGAAGGCTGGAAGAGAGAGTATGAAAAACAGTTGTTTGGATAGCTGAAGTAGCTGACCAATCACAAAATCTTTATTATCTGGATATTTATTACTCAGAAGACCATCATTAAGCTTGAATTTCAGTTTTCCTTATTTATAATAGATATAATAAATTCTTCCGGAGAGTTCTTTGTAGTTGTTTTTTAACATCATTCACTTCTCATCTTACCCTTAAAAAAAATTCCAATGTGATTTACAGCATTGTAGCTGGCATGGCCTAATATGATTTTCATGGTAAAAACAAATCTTCAAGGATAGGATAAGGCCAAAGTGGTCATAACCCACATGTTGAGAAACACTGACTTAAATCATACTCTTGTCATGATATTAAAGCCTGTTTTTCAGCAAGATAAGAATGGGAACAGGGGCTATGTCTGACATGTATTCTGTTGCCCCCTCTTTGATCACTTCCCCCTGATGGGGGGGTATCCTTCTAAGGCCGTAGAGGAAGAGGATGCAGTCAGTCTTAATGAGACTTAATAGACTGGGGTCACACTGTAGGGGAGGAGGGCTCCCCCTTTCTGAGGAGTAGGGGAGGGAAATGGAGTAGAAGAGGGAGGGAGGGCGGGACTGGAAGGAGATGAGGGAGGAGGGTTACAATCAAGATGTTAAGTGAATAAATTATAAAAATAAATTTAAATAAGGATGGGGTAAGGTGTTCCTTCTACTTCAAATGTAATTGTGAAGAAATAAGGTTGTTTTTTTAATATTTATTTACTTATTATTTATACAGTATACAGTATCCTGCCTGCATGTGTGCCTGTAGTCCAGAAGAGGGCACCAGATCACAGTATAGATGGTTGTGAGCCACCATGCAGTTTGCTGGGAATTGAACTCAGGACCTTTGGAAGACTAGCCAGTACTCTTTACCTCCGAGCCATCTCTCCAGACCAGGAAATCAGGTTTTAAGTGTGTTGACATATTTAAATAACCTAACATCATGATTTATAATACTCAAGATATACAATCTACCAAAACTTTAGTTTAAGGCTTACTGTATGTTTATCGGCATGGCGACAGGGAGGGAAGCTAAGTGTGCCTTATCTACTGGAGAGAGGAGGGTGGATAAAGGGCAGAGAGCAGAATGGCTCCTGGATAAGGGTGCTGCTTCATAGGGTTTCTTGTAACTCCAGCAAGATCCGACTCAGAAATGAACACCTTATAAAGGGAGAAAGCCACCAAGACGTACACAGCGAAAGGCTTTTATGAGCCTTAAAGGTCAGTATGGAACACAGACGTAGGAAATAGCAAGTCTGACGGACCCCACTGAAGGCAGACACTTCTTAGGGAGTAGAGTAACCCATGATGACCATTTACTTAACACCTGAAAAGCTACATTCTTTGTCCTGCGTTTTAGAAGCAGGAAAAGGTTCAAGTACATGTGGTGGCATATTCCCATATACCTTAGACCAGATGCTAAGGCTTTTTACATCATTTTTCTTTATGAAATGGGATCTGTTTTTTACTTTTCAGCCTCAGGGATGGGGGAACGTGGCAACTGAATGTTGGAAAGCAGCAGTCATCCATCCGGTCACGGAGTCCAGTTTCTTAAAAAGCTTGCACCCACTCTACACTAAAGGTCTCAAGGAAAAACTAAAATGACAAAAATTTCAGTACCTATTCCGAAACCATGGAAAAACTATGTGATTATTTTGTTTATATTTGGATTACCCAGAAGCCAAATACTTCCTGTTCCTGTAACACAAACACATGCTTAAGTCCAATGTACAATTTTTACCTTCCAACCTGGAAGGCCAAGGCCTTATTCTAGTCTGTTTTCTGTGGCCATGAGCAAGCACTGACCTAGACCAACTTGGGAGGAGAGGGTTTATTTCAAGTTATTCTTCTAGCTAACAGTCCATCACCGAGGGAAGCCAGGGAATAGCTGATACTGACTTGTCCCTGTAGCTCACACTCAACCAGGTTTTTTATACAACCCAGAATGACCTGCCCCAGCGTAGCAATGACCACAGCAGGGTGGCCCCTCCTAAATCAATCAACAATCAGAGCATTCACCACAGACATGGCCAGGGCCAAATGTGAAGTGGCCATTTCTCAGTTGAGACTCTCCTCTCAGGCGACTCCTCGATCAGGAGGACAATAAAAAAAACCTACAGGACAGCACTATTCCTAAAAGGTTTTTATATATCAATGGAGTGTGATTATATAAGAATAATACACCTGCACATATGGAACAATTATTCAGATGATTTTTTTTTCCAATGCACAAAGGCAAGGCAAGTTTATACACACACACAGATGTAAAACACACAGAATGGATGACTCTGACTTCAGACATGCACTATAGGTTATTAAAATGTCAGTAATTTGAAGCTGAAAAATAGAAAGCATTAAGCAAAGTGGTGGTGGGGGAGAACAAATTCTAGTTCTTTCTAAAGATGCCAAATTAATTATAAGAAATTACTATGTGGGGATTCTGGATGTTCCTCACGGAATGCTCTTGAGTCCTGACTAACCACTTAGTGAGCTAACACTGTGAGTCTTTCCATTTACTCTATTTCCAACATGATACCTCATGGTTCAGGGGTTTCCCTCTCCCTCCCACCTGGAATATTAATTCTATGTCAGACATTTGGGTTCAGACCCCAGCTTTCCACGACTCACAACAAGCAAACTTTTCTAGTCTTGTTTCCAAAATGAAAAGGGAATCTCGCAGCGTTGCTGGGAACACGCTCTTTCCAATTCCTTCAGTGTTCCGGTTGCCATTCCCTTTAAGCCTACACATGTGACAGCTCAAACAGTGTTCTTGAAAAACTCTGACAAGCCCTTCAGTCGCAGATGCCTTGCTAATGTCCAACCACATTTTTTTCTCCTTTCCTTACTATTCACTTGGCAGGAGCTCACGCACCATCTTGTGATCTCCTGTCCACTGCTGACTCAAATTAATTGAATTGTTTTTGTTTTTAAATTTAGGTAGGCCCCCTGAGGACACCGGCTGGATCTCATTTCTTTTAAATAATAAATAAGTAAAAAAGAAAAAAAAAATTTTTCCGTTTCCTGGGAACTTACCCTGAGCCAGCCAAGCACTGTTGATGCAAGGATTAAAAAAGGCTTTCCTAGTCTTTCTCTAGGGGCGCTCCCTATATGGAGCTGACTTGGTACTTACCTCAGAGATTTCATGACAGAGGGCAAAGGGGAAACCTGGGAGAAGGAATGTCAAAAGGGACAGGTGGAAAGTGCTTGGAGCCCTAATAGGGGCAAGCAGAAAGAACAGAGGCTGTAAATATGACCCAAGACTCTCTGACACACGGGGAAGGCAAACAAAGGCTTAGCACCAGCTAGAGAGGTCAGGGGTCTATGGCAGATCACTGGTGGTCGACCCTGAAAACAGTGGTTGATCCTTGCGCCTGGAGACTTACATGGCTATGGCAGTGTGCCTGAACTTGGGGTGGGGTAAGGACTGCCCTGAAGACCCTGCTGTGGGTGGAGAGGTCAAGGATACTAGCAAAGGAAGCAAGATGATGACAGTGGCTGCCACAGAGAAAGAGGTGGCAGCCTCCTCCTGACGCTGGGCACCGGCAGGCGGCCGCTAGCAGTAGAGAGTTCTGGGGGAACGGAGGAGGTGCTTCCCCAGCTCTAGCAAGGAGGAACAAGACCCCGAGAGTGCAAAGCACCTGAGCCGTGCAGGAAGATCAGCGAAGCACTGTGTTTCCCGGCTGGGGACACCACGCAGCGCTGCAGGTGCACCATGCCGGGTGCAGCAGCCATGGCGGAGCAGAGATGCTTGGGCGCGTGGCCACGCCCCTCAACGTAGCGGGGCGGTGCACGCAGGCACGCTGCGCCAGCATGGGTTTGAGCATGCGCTGGCGAAGGTGCTCCATCCCCCTAAACCTGACTCGGGAGTGGGAGGCTCTGATTTCTGCTGGGAAGTGCAATCCCTTGGGACAGGCTCCTCTATTGTAAGGATTGAGAACAGAGTTCTGTCTCGAGAATTTGCAGGTTTTAAAGTGCAATTCTAAAGCTCAGGATATATTACTGCCTTTAAATTTTAACAGATACAATCATATTTCATATAACCATCCACGTTGAGACTTACACCAGATGATCATAGCTTTTTGCATACAGGGTGAGCCAGCATGTAATAACTTCTTTTTCTGTGTCTTTGTTTTTCTTCTTCTAATAGTTAACAGACAGATCTGATTTAACGATCTAGGACTTTACATTCCTTGGCATGGCCGTTACCAAAACTGTGGGCAGTGATTGGTGGGAATGAGTACAAGCTGGGGATTGTTGTGCATGGCTGATGGGAGCAGCAAGTGCTGTGAAAATAAGTGTGGGATTACATGACCCACAACTTCAACTCCTGGATACATCCCTCCCTAGAGACAGGAAATCGGGGACTCGAGAGAGGCTCCTACACCAATACCCGCACTTGTATTCACAGTCCACAAAGGACGAGTACACCAGAGAGTACTCCTCACGACTAACAAGCCTGGAGTTCTGGTTTGTGTACCAAATAGATTAGCTTTGAAAACACTGTGATGGTTAAATGAGCCAGCTAGAAAGGGAGAAACGCTCTGACTAGAATGAACAAAGGTAGAAAAGACAGGCAGTAGAAGCAGGTTTTCCTTACCAGGTTGATCACGATGGGGTGGGGTTTGATCCCTGCAAAGTAGATATCATTATTATCTTCATCTCTATTATTATTATTATTATCTGTATTCTGGCTAATAAGCAGGCTGTGTGCATAGTCTTTACAAGGTGATGAACCCTTCATAAGTAAATTCCTATAACTCAATTTTGGCTACCTCTTCCTGGCAACTTAGCCCCCTGGCTAAATAACTTTTCTCAAGATAATCCATCCAGTCTCTGGTAGAGCCTGAGCTCACATGAATCACACTGGGGCTCAGGTTCTTAATTATTCATTACCCACAATCACACACTGGCCCACACAAACAAGCCCAGGAAATACCCTAACTATCCTAGTTAGTTTTTATTGTCAACTTGACAAGCCAGATAGTCACCTGGGAAGAGAGCAATTCATTTGAGGAATTGTTGGCTTGTGAGCATGTCTGTAGGTGGTCTTGATTGCTATTTGGTGTAGGAGGGCCCAGAAAACGGTGTGTGGCACAGTCACCTAGGAAGCTGGTTCTGGGATGTGTCAGGGAGCCGGCTAAGCATGAGCTCAGCAGCAAGCTGCTACACAGCATACCTTCATGCTTTCTACTTCACTTCCTGTTTGAGTCCCTGCCCTGACGTCCTTGAGGCTGGACCAAACCCCTGCTTCTCTGACCTGCTTTTGGTTGGAGTGTTTTGTCAGAGCAAGAGATAACAAAGAGGAGGACTAGCTATGCTACTATTTTTTTGAACATTTATTTAGCTTTCCTCAGATGTCTTGGTAGTAGTTCCTGCTCTCTTTCTCCAAGTGGATAAATATCAGTCACAACAGGTAGGTGGATTCCTACCTGCAGGCTAGGAATCCTGAAATTTGACCCTTTCTGGAGTCACAATCACTATTGTGTTGAGTCAGATTCTTCTGGATCTTTCCATGATTTGAATAAGGAGCTGTTGTTGCTGTCCCTTTCATCTTTAGTTATGGCACAAGCAGAGGGTTTATATTCATATATTTAGAGAGGCCATCTGGCAGGCACACTATCAATGCTTTGTTTCTTTCATGCCCTGTCATACTTTGAAATGTAATTAGGTTTCAGGCTGGCTGGCTGCTTCTTTTATGACAGATCTGCCGCTCTGTTCAGTCAGTGCTGAGAATATTCCCAGAGGCTCTGTATTCCTACATTCTCTCACTCTTTCTGTACCTTCTCCTTTCTTGGTTGCTGCTCATGTACTTTTAGCCAGTCTGCCCACCCACACCTGATACATCCATTTTGATAACATCATTTCTAGACCAAAAAATAAAGCAAAATCAAAGGAAAAAAAAGAAAAGGAAAAAAAACCCACTCCTCCATTTCTCAAAAATGTCATACCTATTGAGACAAAAAAAATACAATGTCAAGCTGGGCATGGTGGCACCCACCTTTAATCCCAGCACTTGGGAAGCAGGGACAGGCAGATCTCTGAGTTCCAGGACAGCCTGTCTGCAGAGTGAGTTCCAGGACAGCCAAGACTACAGAGTGATACCTTGCCCCAAGTATACCACCACCTCCCTACAAAAAAAAAAAAAAAAAAAAAAAAGCAAAGTTACAGTTTAGTTTCTTGTGCCATGTTAAGAAAGTCTTTAATGTGTATGTGTTATCTTTACAGAACATGTGAAGGTCCAGCCCTTGGAGTGCATCATTGGATGTTTGTTTTTATTTCATGTGTATTGGTGTTTTTCCTGTGTGTACATCTGTCTGAGGACATCAGATCTCCTGGAATTGGTGCTACAGATAGTTGTGAGATGCTGTGTGGGCGCTGGGAATTGAACCTAGGGCCTCTGGAGGAGCAGCTAGTGCTGCTTCCCACCAAGCCATCACTCTAGCCTCACATCTGCTGTTTTAGATTGTCCCAGTTACATGAAATCCTGTCAGTCGGCATTTTTCTCATTTATGAAACTGAATTTGTCTTCTTTATTGGTTTGGATTTTTAATTAGTTATTATTTTTTACTTATTATTATTATTGTGTGCACATATGTGAATAACGTGGGTGGGCATGCTTCAGTGCACATGTGGATGTCAGAGAACAACTTTGTGTAATGAGTTCGTAACTTCCATTTATATGTGGGCTTCAGGCTTTCACAGTAAGTGCCTTAGTTGGCTCAGCCAGCTTGCTAACCTGGTTGTTATTTATCTACTGTCGCATTTTGCGAAAACACAAACATATGTAATAACTATATACTTCACCATAAGCCTCAGACTTGGGTGACAATACATTTTATAAATTGGCAAAGGATATTCCCTTTATACATTTATGAAAGAAGCTCTCTAACAATCGCTCTCCGAGCCAGAGGAAGACTGGGCAGTAAATACTAACCATGCCCTCTTCCCTTGAGGAAAGGAATCTCATCCTATAAATCCCTGAGGTAAGGAGAAGCCACAGCATCCTAGAAATCAAATAGAAGAAGGAGGAGGAGGAGAAAAAGAAGAAGGAAGAGAAAGAGAAGGAAAAATAGGAAAGAAATTTCAGTGTCAGAACAGTGAGAACTTCCACACTGTGACTTATTTGTTTATTAACGTTGTTTAAATCCACGAATATTAAAATGCTGTAGCAGGAATAAGGATTTCTAGTCCCTTGCTGGGATGACAGCTATGTGCCATTAGATAGGCCATACTGGACACATTCTCCAGCTGCATGATAAGGCAACCAGGCTTGACAACCTTGCCAACTGAATGATTTTAGAACCGCAAAAAACTCACATTTTCAGCTGTCTCCACTATTCCCATGGTGGTGTCTAAAAGTTTAAATGAAGACTATAGAATTAATGGCCAGTCTGAAGACAGTCTTTGCTGTATATTTTATTCCACCATGGACTATTTTCAGGAGTATGTGTGTGTGTGTGTGTGTGTTGTTGACCCCTACACAATAGTCTATGTGAAGATATGACAGTAGATTTCCTGGTCTCATAATTCTATCTTTAGATAATGAAATTTTGAAGTTGTTATTGATTCTTACTGTGATGGCAAATCAGAACCATTGTTCTTTCTGACTATGTTTTAAATAATTTGCTTTTTTGTAAAATGGTGTAATGTCAGTTTTTAGAAGCAGGTAGATATTCTTGGGCCAGTGAGACAGCTAAGTGTGTAAAAGTACTTGCTGTCGAGACACTGACTTTTGTTTGATCCCTGGAACAAACAAGGTGGCGAAAGTGGGGGTGGCCAATGGGCTGCCACAAGTTATCCTTTCTAATCCTACATGTGATTCCCCAGATATACTCACCCACACCCACAAAGACAAACTAATTAATCAATGTAATAAATTATATTTTTTAAAAAAGAGCAAGTGTCTCTGTGTAGATTGAAAATGAGTGTAAGGCTGTCTGTCTAAAAGGGCCTTTGAGAGCTGTGCATGCATTCACATCTACACTAACCAAAGTCTGGAAGGAAACCAAAAGTCCACAGATGGAGACAAAAATCAGAACAGGGTGTCACTTAACTTTTAAAAAGGAAGTAAGCTTTGTCACATTCACTAGAAGACAGTTTACACTGCGTGACGCCTCCTCTCGGGCGTTGAAGTGTAAAATTCATAGAACACACAGAGGGCCTCCAAGTCCAAGCACAGAATCGAGAGGCTACGAAGCCTCCCATGGGAAAGCCTCCTTTTAGGAGAATATGATAGCATCACCAAAGTCTAACCTCACTAGCTATGGTATAACATGAATTTTATTCATTTCTTTCTGTGACTTTCCTACATGCAAACACTGCTTTTTCATCTTAATACTGCTAGCATCTAGTATATATATATATATATATATATATATTAATATATATGTATATATGTATATGTTCATATATACATATATATTTAATATATATTATATATAATATATATTAAAAATATATATGCACATATGTGTGTATATATGTATATATTTGACTTAAAAATATATATAGATTCATATATGCATATATTTTTTAAAAGTCTTACAGAATTACATTTTAAAAATAAGCCTTTGTAATCCCTCTGCTTCTAGGGACTGATGCCAGTTTTCCAAGCGCTCTTTGGGAACTGGGCCCTGCTGCTCTTCCCTGTTGTGTTTTCAACCCTGTGTCCCATATCCTGTCCTTCCCTCCCCTCCCACACACACAGACCCTCCTCCACTCTTCTTGCTGTGCTGTACCCCAACAGCGGGC